TTTTTTGAAAATATTGTTCATAGATTATACATGTTAGGATACATGTCCATGACGATTTATTTCGCAATTGGATCAAAGATGATCGACTGTTAGGCATCTTGTTTTTTTTATATGCGATATCTTGGACGTGCTCTGTCAGTTTTCATTCAAATTTGGCACATGCATGTACATGTTAGGATGCATGTCCATGACAATTTGTTTCAAAATCTGGTCAAGGATGGCCGATTGACAGCCATCTGTCTTTTTGGCCTTACTACTATATTTCCGCAATTTATGTACCTTTTTCATTCGTATTTGGCACATACATCATACATATCAGTGTGTTTCATAATCAGATCAAAGATGGCTGAATAACGGCTGTTTTTATTTTTGGCCATATTACTACTACATGGAACATGTGTTTTGATGTAAATAAACAATCTGTTGTATACGCCACTTGGAACTCAAGTTTCAAAGACATGCTTGGGACAACCCCTCCGCTTTAATATGACGAGCACAAAGGGAACTTTTAAAAATTTAACAGGACTGTCATTTTCAATGATTTGTTGTTTTGCCCTGTGTGCGTCCGTGATCACCTGTATCTCGAACATGCATGGGCCGATTAAGTTCAAACTTCACTCATACATCACACATTATATGGGACATATGCACATGCATTTTTTTCATGATCCGATTAACGATAGCCGAATAGCGGCCATTTTAAGGCCGAAAAAGCATCAAAATTGCATTTTTTCACCATTCCGGACCCGGATCTCAGTTATGCATGGACGGATTTCGTTCAAATTTGGTACATACATTAAACATAATAGGACCTTGATGCACGTCATTTTTGACTCCCGTGTGCGAAGCACAAAAGGGAGTCTTTGCAGTTACCCTGTCTGTATGTCTGTATGTATGTATGTCACTTTTTTTGTTCCACCGTTATCTCAAGAACCACTAATCAAATTTTGGTGAAACTTGGTACATAGATGCTCTGGGATAATGCGCAGAGTTGATTAGGTTTTGGTAAAAATCTATGAATATTAATTACCTAATTTGCATGATAATTTGCTGATTTTTAGCTGTTCCATGACTGTTCCACTGATATATGAAGAACCACTCATTGGATTTTGATGAAACTTGGTACATGGATGCTCTGAACTAATGCGCAGATTTGATTTGTTTTGGGTAAAAATCTATGAATATTAAATAGCTAATTTGCATGAT